CTCGTTGCCGATCAGGTTCTGCCTGTCAGAGGCTGAAGGGACAAAGAAGCTCAGGGTCAGGGATCAGGAGAGTCATGGGCAATGTGGGGAACATTCACAAACCATCCCAAGGGCACGGGGAACATTCACAAACCATCCCAAGGGCATGGGGAACATTCACAAACCATCCCAAGGGCACGGGGAACATTCACAAACCATCCCAAGGGCACGGGGAACATTCACAAACCATCCCAAGGGAGTGGGGAACATTCACAAACCATCCCAAGGGAGTGGGGAACATTCACAAACCATCCCAAGGGCATGGGGAACATTCACAAACCATCCCAAGGGCCTGGGGAACATTCACAAACCATTCCAAGGGCACGGGGAACATTCACAAACCATCCCAAGTGCATGGGGAACATTTACAAACCATCCCAAGGGTGTGGGGAACATTCACAAACCATCCCAAGGGCCTGGGGAACATTCACAAACCAACCCATGAGCACTCAGGGCTCTGCCATCCCTCACCTCGCGACGGGTGTCCCCTCTCGTGGCCGGTGACGCAGTACACGGCCACTGCCAGAAACAGCGTGGCCACCACGTCGGCGATGACGATGCCCGAGATGGTGGGAGCGTCCACTTGGATGCAGTTCTGGCACACTGCAAGGACAAAGGGACACGGGCACTGGCAGCAGGGTCACACCCCGAGAGCTCTGCCAGCTCTGCCCGTCCAGCCCCAGCCCCCGGCCAGGAGAGCAGCTGGGACTGCCCTGTGACCCAGGACAAGCTGTCACCTGTCCCCACACTCAGGGAGCCCAATCATGGCACCAAACAGGGCTGCAAAGCCATCCCAGTGCCACCAAACGCAGAAAAACCCGCAGCAAATCATCACAGACACCCCCAGGTGATGGGAAACTGCCTCAGGGCTTTGTTGGGTGAAAACTCGGAGCAGTGCTGGCTCTGGAGAAGCTCTGAGCGACACTCACAGCGATAGTGCGACACTCACAGCGATAGTGTGACACTCACTGCGATAGTGTGACACTCACTGCGATAGTGTGACACTCACTGCGATAGTGTGACACTCACTGCCATAGTGTGACACTCACTGCGATAGTGTAACACTCACTGCGATAGTGCACCTGGAGGCTTTTCCTGCTTTTCCCTGTCTCACACGTGTACAGCCCCCTGGGATCGTCGTAAGCCGAGCTCAGGTCCAGCTGAGCTTCGTTCCCAACAGCGTTCCCGTCCTTCCACCAGGTGATGTTGGCGTTTCCTGGGCCTCGCACGCATTCCAGGAACACCTTCCCGCTGAATTCCTTCACGTTTATTTTCTGCCCTGTGAAAGAGGGGAGCAGCGAGCATCACTCGGAGCTGTGRCAGCGCTGCAGAGCTCGGAGTTCCTTCGTGGAGGTGAAGCATCGCCTCAAGCTGGAAAAAGCAGCCTCTCCCAGCCTTGCTGCATTGATTCATTTCCCCCCCAATGATGTTTCAAACCTCATTTCCCGGTGGAAAATCCCACCAAGCCTTGGGGCTCCTTCCCAGCAGCCTCCCAGCACCTCGAGTGTCCAGTGGATGCCCCCACAGCTCGGACTCACCTCGRACCCCCCAGGTGGCCAGGGCCAGGCTGGCCAGCAGTGCCCAGGCACCCAGGGTCCTTGTCCTGGCCATGGCCCGGCGCTGGTGGCTCTGTCCCCGCTCGCAGGACGTGCCGAGAGCCGCTCACCGCACGGCACCGCCCGCCYGGGGCCGCGCCGGGTACCGGATGCCGGGGGCTGATCGTCCCTCCCCCGGCAGCCGCGGATGGAGGGGGGCTCAGAGCCCTCCTCCCGGCCCCAGCGGAGCCTGGAACATTTTGGGGGCTGAAGTTGGGGTCCCCCAATAGCCAGGGACCCGCAGGAGTCAAGGACCACCGAGTGCCTGTACAGACACAGAACCCAGCAGCATCCACAGCATCCACAGAGCCCCCCAGCACCCAGAGCCCCCTGCAGCAGCTGGGGAGGAGAGCCCCCGGTATTTCCATGTCCCTCTCCAGGCACTGTCCCACTTCAATCCCGGATCCCCAGCCCCCACTGCTGCCCCGTCCCATCGAATTCCAGCACCCACCGGCGTGCCCCCAGCAGCCAGGACTCACGGCAGCACGAACCCCGCCGCAGCCGCAGAGCCCCCCGGCATCTCCGT